ATATATATATATATATATATATTTCTTTGTTGAACATTTTAATTTTTTATGTGCAGAAAGAGAATGAAAAAACGCATCGATTAATACATTTAAATATATTTATTTAAAACAAAAGTGTAACGTATGGCGTACGTATAAATGTATAATATTATAAATGTATAATAGTATAGAAGAATAACATTTATATATCATTTTATTTCATTTTATAATTTTTTCCAATATTATTTTCAAATATTATAACCTATTCCAGTCTCATGGAAATGTATTTATCCTATATATATTTCTTGCAGTATAAATTCTGAATTATGCTATTATTTCATATCACTTACTTTTTTGCAAAAAAAAATATGGCACATATTATCTAACTATAAAAGAAATTTATCTGAACAGAGCATAATTATTTTATTATACAAATATTATATAATATAATTATGCAATAATTTATCTAAATTTACTGATTATGAGAGAAGGTCGGTAATTATATGTAAGATTTTAAAAAGATTATTAGGTCTTAGAAGATCATATATTTTATTAATGAATGCTAATTGTTAAATAAAACGGAGTAATTTATATTAAAGTAGTAAAAAAGTAGATAAATTTTTAATTCTCAATAATTGATTCTTCTCAATTTTTAATAGAACGTATAACACAATTCGTTTATATACGCACACATATAACACTGCACATTGAAATACATTTGTACGCGTGATACGTTATCCAAAAGCACTGGCGGAGAATTTGATAAGATTGTCTAACCTTGTTAATTTCCGGAACACCGCCTTCCGAACATTTCGTAAGCCAACGTAATAATTATCACTTTTAAAACTTTTTATACCGAAATGATTCATTATTATATTATTCTTTGATAATTCATTACTCTCCTTAAACGAACTTTTAAGTTCGTTTTGGCTCTGATATTCATTAGCAGAAATAAGAAATAAAACATTATAACTTCCCAATTATAACGCGAGAATTCTTGTTTTGAATTAATGTTTAAATATCAACGGATGTTTTGAGTTATAAAAAAATATAGCGATTTCATTACATTTAATTGGATGGTTTCAGAATTGAAAAGATATCGCAAGAGACACGATCCGTGAATTGCACGCGACGCGGAGACATTCTTGCGATCTATCGATATAAATCCCTCTCGTCATATTCATTAGTTACAGCAAAAAATTCTGTGCTTGAAGCTCGATATCATTAAATTAATTACATCGCGAGATATCGTTCGCCATCTAACTGCATCCTTGATTATACGTCATAGAAATAATCGATGTGACACGCAAGCATTGGTTTACATTTGAATCGATAACATGTATATCTACGTTTGAACAAAATATTTGCGCGCGAATAATCTGACATCTGCATTAAACAATTTTGCATGAGGGAGTTGATTAAAATTACGTACGTCAATAGTTACTAATACTCAGTTATTAGAGAATTTTTTACAGATTATAATTATTATATGTAATTTTTCCCTTATTTATCCTAATGAAACATAATTTTATAACGCCCACTGTCATCAAAAACACACATTATTCTTCGGATATATAATATATATTTATTACATCAAAATATTTATGATATTTTGTATTTATGAATCAGACGCCATTAGAGAGAGAGAGAGAGAGAGAGATATATATATATGTTTGCAAATATAATTTTTTTTTGAGAAAAACATAACTGTCTCTTAGAAGTATCGTATCTCTCTTTCGTATAACATACATTCTTATGACGCATGTTACGATTGACGTTTCAATTTTACCATCTCTCATATATAACTCTTCCTTATTTTATAATTATCTCTTTTTCTCACTTTCTTTGATCTTGGCCTGATTTTTTAGACGATACGGAAAACATGGCTCGATGATTCGATTCACCCACTTAGCGATACCTATAGATCTTTTTTTTTTTGCATGGCTAGTCTTCTACGTCCATCCAAATTTACGAGGGCAACGTTCGTTGGCGCGAATGTTAAAGGTTACAGCATCCGATATGTATCTCGTGTATTCGCCCAAACACAGTATATATAACAGTATACACACTTATACATTTACAATCGCGGACGTGTTCGCGCGCGACAGCCACGAGACGCGAAATGTTTCGGAAAATGAAACATCCTAGGAAATGTTCCTCGCGAACTCCACTCGCCCACAACTCCGTTCGCTCGATAGTGAACGAATCATCCTGCCGGCTGCTCGTGAAAAGGTGAACGATGGATTCGCCGTTCGCGTTGCGACACGCTTTTATGGCTCTATCTTTGAACCACGATAAAGTTCACTAGTACAGCGATCGTTACACTTGTATACCCATAACACAGTGAAAAGTTCTAGTTTATCTACTCCGCGATATACTATATATATACATTATATATGCGTTAAAAATTTTATTGGTGGCCTTTCATATTTTATCTTCCCAACAATTTTATCGCTATTTTTCTTTGTGCCAATACACGTACACATACATCTTTTTTTTTTCACAAAGTAAAGAATCTTATTTTTTGATTTCCTAAACTCTTTACAATCCCTTAATAAGGAATTTATTTCAAGATGATTTAACGTAGAAATAATTTAACAAGAATAGTTTGAGATAACATATTATTCTCGTAATAAATCAATATTCATATGATTCTCGTAAAACATAAAAATATTAAAAAACATTATTAATATTAATTAAAATAATATTAATAAAACACTAGTATAAAACAAGAGATGGGTGATTGGCTGGATGTTCCCGATTTCCTAAATTCCTAAATTTGACTCCACCGAATTGAAAACGTAAATAATGAATTTTTACACTCTTGTCTTTTCACTGGCAAATGTATTTTATCACATTAAACTCGCTCTCCACCGACTAAATTGCGTCCGCAATTTAGTCTTCAAATATTAACATCGCACTCTAACCCGCAAGAGTTGATCAACATTGCACCGCGCGTATTCGAAAATCTATTTACCGTGTGCATTTCGGGAATTATCTAAAGAATTTCGTCTGCCAAGTTTTTCGTGGACAATTTTTCAAACGGCGACTTTCTCTTACGGAATCTTTTCTCAGTTGGCGTGATCGTTCAATTTCCCACGTCAAGCTTCGCATATAACGATATGTAGGTCATTTGAAATAAAGTGCTGTGTTTTCGCGCAAAGAGGTTCTGCGTATTCACAGATATCTGGATTTTTCCGGTTACGTTCTTTTCACACACTGGTGTTAAATCCTGTGCTCACCCGCGCTAATGTCGTCGCAAACCTGTGAACAAGCGAACGGGTCGAATATTACTGTCCATCGGCGAGCTGCCGAGCTTGTTATATCGCAATCTTATCACTTGCCTTTAGCAGATAATATACATATTCCATATAAGAAGAGAATTAAGAGAAGTATCGATTATCTTTAATATTTTATTATGCACATCTCCTTCCTTTTAAAGATTACATCGCGCTTTTCGAGATCGAGGTGTAAACCTAAAGTCCACAAACCACTTAAATAACGATATCAATTTTGTTTTGACTATCTTATCGCGCGTTGTCTGTTATAATAGCATTTTGCATATCGCTGTCTCTTTTTCATAATGCCCTCGAGGTCAAAACGGCCAATATCGCAACGAAACATGCATTATTCGCGCGCAAATCACGTGTAATAATTTTTTAAACATCATACATTTGTCGGTTTGATTAATCAAAATTGCCGCTAATCTTTACTATTAAGTCGATATGAAATTTCGATTTTCTTATCGCGAATATTCTAATATCGTTTCGCACAGTAATCGATATAATCGTGGTTCGCGAATTGATCGGACAAACTATGCATCACGCAGCATGAATTCGAACGAATCCGTTCACGATAGATCGACATTTCGAAATATATATCGCTATCATATATACTCACGCTTGATGATTAGACAAGCGATGGTGAGTTCTCTGCGAATCTA